TATATATATATATATATATATATATATATATATATTTTATTTATTTATTTTTTTGGAAAATTAAATGGGGTGAGTGGGTAGCCGTAACTTTGAAAGTCGAAACTCACCCGACATCCACAAGCCATTGTCTAATGGGCTGCAATCTAGAGTTGAATTCCTGCTGCATTTTAGAAGGTCTAATACGTATCTTACCATCTTATAGACCAAAAAACACGTGGACTCAATTCTCGTTTGAGCTGATGATTTATAAATATAATTTATGTGTGATTAGATAATCGATCATGACATCTAACTTGCCTTCAATTTATGAGCTATATACATAAGAGTGGAGTAATTAACACAAAACATTTCTACCTTTCAATGTTATTGTACAAAATGTTCCTACATTTTATTTTTTGACATTTTCAATAAAAAATTAAAAATAACAAATATACCCTCCTATTTAAATAAAACAAAAAAAAAAGAAAAGAAAAATTAGAAAGTAAATTGCATTTTTACTCCTATACTTTTAAAAAAAATTGCAAATGAGTCCAAATAAATTATTAAAAGGGTAATTAGCACAAAATATATATTTTCATATTATTGTGCAAAACGTCCATAACTTTCATTTTCTGACATTTTTACCTTTATTTTCATATTACATTGTGAAAATCATCATTTTTATCTATTTTCTCAAATAAAATAAAGAAAGTGATTTTATTTGAAATTACTTGTAGTTTTTTGATAAATTTGAGAGTACAGTTGTAATTTATTTTTTATTTTTGTTTTATTTGAATATGATGGCATATCGTCATTTTATATCTTTTAATTGATAAAGTTGATAAAAATGGTGATTTTCGCAATGAAATATGAAAATAAGGTTGAAAATGACAAAAAATAAAAGGTGTGGATGTTTTGAATAATAATGTTAAAAGGTAGGGACGTTTTGTGCTAATTACCCTTTTAATAATTTATTTGAAATATAATTGTAATTTGTTCTTTAATTTTTCTTTTCCTTTCTTTTTTGTTTTATTTAAATACGAGGATATATTTATTATTTTACATCTTTTTTTCATTGAGAAAAGAACTTTTTTCTGTAATGAAAGATGAAAATAAGGGTGAAAATATCAAAAAATAAAAGGTAAGAACGTTTTGCACAATAACATTGAAAGGTATGAACGTCTTGTGCTAATTACCTCATAAGATTGATACATCGAACAAGATAGAAAAATCTATTGTTATGTAGTTTGTGAGTATACCATCTAACCCAAGTCGATACTAGAAGCAAACATGCCTAGAGATGGCTTGTGCGGTTTGAACTATGGCACGAACAGCTCTTAAAAGCATCTGACTTATTTTACATTATAGTACAAAACAACAATATTTTATGTCGGATAAGTAATTACTATGTGGAAACTTCAACTTCAACATCACTCGTGCATGTTTTAATATCATTTTTATGCTCAGTTAAGCAATAGTTAATAGTTGGACGTTTTCAAGCTGTCACATCATCATCCCCATTTTCTTAACCTTCGGTTTGTACAATCTATTTGTCATTATACATTGTCCACCTTAATTTTTTAATAAACCAACCTTTTTTTTCTTCATTTGTGATGTTTTATTTGTTTTTACAGGGCGATGTTATCAATTGTAAACCAATCCCTTTGTTGGGTTTGGCCAGATGAATTGTTTAAGCAATAATGCTCCACTTTTTGTGGAAATTAATTATATATGGCAAACCTAATTCAACCTTCCAAACTAGTATATACCTTAAATTAAAGGAAAATGGTGGAACAATTGTCGCTATAACATTCGTTTTACAAGCTAAGACTTCGATATTAACGTGGACGGGAAAAAAAAGGGTTAAATATTTTACCGCAATTACTTGACTCCAAATTTATAAAATTGTAAATTCAAGTTCAACAGAACATTTTGATAAAAGGCCATCAATTCGAAGAACTAGCAAATGGTATACAAATATTATTCAAAAAAACACTTAGTACATGTTGTAGGGAAGTCGAAGTACACTAAAACATAGTCAAGATTCTAATTTATCTTTTTTCATTAATCATGTCAAGTATTATCTAATCTATTCGAGCTTTTCAAATACAACATTGACTTGTTACAAGGCATGTTTTGAGTCTTCATTCCACTTTGATCTAAGCAACTTTAGCAACATTCTTGCCTTAGTTTTAGCCCTCCCACTGCACTGGCTTTGAAGAAGCAACAGCAACTGAGTTAAAACCCCGCTAGAAATGGCTTCTTCTCTAGCAGTTTCCGAATCAAAACATATAATTAGTAACGAATTTATTGCACTCTCACTTCCTTCATGATCTGATACTCTGAAAACCAACTTGACTAATGCATTTACACCAGAGGGGTGATTGATAATCGCTTGTTTTGCGCACTCTAAGGTTAAAAGATTCTCGATTATGGACACTGCCATCGGCGCTGAGCTTCTTTCATGTTTTTTGGACTTCGAAATATGTTCAACGAGTTCTTCGACTGCACCTTCTTTTACTAGCTTTTCGCGATTGGATTCTATCAAAGATAAAGCTGATATGGCCTGGATCCCGGCTTCAGCAGCCTCGGAATTGTTATGAACAAGATGAATTATTTCTTGCAAAAGATTGGCTGATTTCCCAAGCTTAATGCAAAGTTCTTTTGTATCTAAACCTTTTGCAATTTCCTCAACCAAATGACACAAGCTTTTCTTAATAGCCATGTTGCCCTTTTCAAACAGCAAAACAAAATAAGCAAATTTAGACTCCTCTTTGAGCATGTTTAGAGACCCCAAGTCACTGAATGGCAACAACTTAAGAGCACAAATAAGTGCTTTTTCTACAAACCTCAAATTTTCTTGAAAATGTAAACCTTCTGAATTTCTGAAAACCGCTTCTAACAATAAACAGAAGAAGTCTAATTGTATCAAACAAGAGTTCTGCAGTGGTAGCTCATCCGCCAAAGCGTGGATGATCTCGAGTATTTCAAGCTTATTCTCCAATGCGGATTCATTCGACTCAAGATTGTGCTTGATTGCAGCAATCGAAATATCACAGTCGACTATTTTCAGGTAAACAGATTCAATTTGGGTACCCGAATTGAGCCATTGATCGATCAAATGTCGAAGAGTGTGATTTGGTATTATAGAAGGATCATGGAGTTTCTGCATTGTGACTGGACATGTCAAGTTCCCAACTGCTAGCCATTTTTCTATGCTGGACCGGTCATAGGTTTGGCCTGTGCATAGAGTGACTGGATCTCTGAACAAATCTAGACTTATGGGGCATATAAACAAAGGAGGGATAATCATTTCAGCACCTTTCATGAAAAATCAAGAAATCAATTTTTTTGGTAAAAAAAAAAAAAAATTTAAAAAAAGCAGAAAGAAGAACTTCTATATTAGAAGAGATTCTTGACCTTCCCTTTCCATGAGATTGGATCTAGCTGTAAGAAGAATGCTCGGTATAAATAACTCACTTCTTGGTCTCCAACCCGTCAAACCCCAGATCAGCGCAATTGGGATGTGTCTATTTATCTATCTCGAATCGAAAAAGAGCAAAGCTCCAAATAGGGAGAGATGGGTATAGGATAACAAGAATGTGTCCTGCAGTGCTTGGTGGGTGAAAGGTGGGGTGTTAGAGGGTGACTTAGCTTGTAAATTTGCTGTAGATATAGGACACAAACACATGGGAAAACAAAACGGAATGCTCAGTGCAAGAGCAATGGTGGGGTGAGTGAAATAGGGAATTAGAAGAGAATACCAATACTACAAACACAAGAAATAACCAGACATTGGGACCTTATCCCTTCCATTGTGGGTGGGGGAGATGGCAAAGGCATTTGCAAATATATAGAATAATTTAAATAAGGAACTACTTTTTGTTGGCCCATATTTCAATTATACTAGATAAGTACCAGTCAAACTGAACCACCGATGAAAACTAGATGAGATTGTACAGGAAGTTTGAATATACCAAATAACAGTGACAGGTTTGAATTGAAATAGAATGCAGCACCTTTAACAAATAGGAAACCCCAAGGCATTTAGAAGTGGAATCTCATCTCATCGGGTATATGTCAAGAAAATGCCAAAGTCTCACGTCATTGTAAAGAGAATGAGCTACTATGTCTAATTATTTAATATTTTGAAATAGAAAAGTGGTAAAGTTAAGATCCAAACTTAACGCAGAAAGAAATCCACAATTGTAGCTCAACAAAAGTGGTGGACACCGAGTTGGGTCACAACGGTTGAACTTTATTTTATTTTTTTGATTTGGTTTAAGGTGGTTGTGTTCTTGTAAAGTCAAAATAGCTTAAAACTTAGGACTTCATTGAGTGTGTGATCCTTCTTGATTTGAGAACGGTGGAGACTAGATTGAGGTTGAGATGATGGTGTGGTTCTTCTCTTGAGGAGAAATTGTTGAGAAAGTATAAACAACATCACATATATTAAACAAGAGATATATAATTGCGTTATGACTATAAGGAAATATTGGATTTACTCATCCCAAGAAGTTAACCTTCTTGAGATAGAACTACTATATAAACTCAATTTATCGAACGTGAATAGAATACGATCTAATATTATCTAAAGTATTTAAAAGGGAAATTTTTCATATCGGATCTAACTATTTAAATTAGAGATAAAAACAAGATTGTTATATTCGTCATTTTTATGTTTATCATTAGTTTAGGTGACAGTTGACCCTTAATTTATTGTTCAATGCATTAAATACATTTGAAGGTAATACATTTGAGTCTTGATGAAAAAGCAATTTCCAATAGCATATCCTGAATCCAAGATAATACCAAATTAAAGAATAACCAACTAAATGTATGAACATTGGGGATTCCTAATACTGAATAAAATTTCAACGAGAATGAGTTCTAATATTTTCCTAATACTCATTTCACTTCCCAAGTTTGACTATATGCATATATGTATTCTCTTAACTTTTGCAGGCACCCAATTGAAAATTATTCACAACAAAAGTTTCAAAATTTTTCGTCAAAGCTGCAGCCAGCTATTTGATTCCCTTGTTTCATGTGCACTTGGAATCCCAATTCAATGCATTAATAAAAGGGCCTTAAAGTAATTTCCAAATTCATGTTTAAGCAACGGGTATATTCACACTAAATATTTTATTATTTGCACCATATTTTATTTGTTATAATACTTATGTCTTTAACTTTGTTTCGTCATATTTTTATTATCAATCTTTCAATGAATAAATATCATCACTAAAATAATTTGTTCAATAAGTCCATTGAAGAGTATACAAAGATTTTTTTTCCCATCATAAGTGTAACAAAATACTTTTATCTCATTTCAAAATATACAAATAGAATATTTCAATAGAAGTCGTTTTCCACGAAAAAAAGTCAGGAATATAAGCATTACACTAAGTAATGATTTCGAATCTTAAGTGCAAATAAAATTTGTGGTGGGCATATAATTTACCCGTAAGCAATTAATGAAAGAATAAGAGATTTTATTTATTTAGTTTTGGTTGTGTAGGAGAATAAGGGATTATTAAGTTGAATGTTCAACTTTAAAACGAATTAGACCTCTTTTGGTAAAGTCGTCTAGAATGTTTGACTATTCTACTTCTTTATGATTAATTTAGAATAAGGTTAGTCTAGCCCCTAAGCAATTTGCATTTAAGATAATGAAATGCCTTGTTCGATTTGAAATCTTCTTTAGTTTCTGTTTGGTATAAATTAAAATTCAGATTTTATTCTAAATTAATGTCAACAATTAATTTTAACCTCACATTTTATGGGATCCACAACTTATCAACTAAACAGTTGTAGATATTATGATGCCAACGGCAACAATTTTTTCGATCATTGTTTGAGCGTCCATTACAAGTTTGAAGGAGCGTCTTAGTAAATTGATGACCTACGAGTAGGGACTTTTAGCATTAATTTCAATTTACATTTTATCGAGAATCACTTTCCATCTCGACCAATTCATCCAACTTTTTCGAAACATAAGGAGTAAAGATCTGATTTGAATCACAAGAAATTGATAGTTTGATTATTTGAAATATTAATTTTCGAAATTTTTGCTGAGAAAAATATTAAACGCCACATTTGCATGCCTAACATTAACAATTAAATTAATGGAAGTTTTGTGACCTCTCACTTGGGCCAAAGGAAAAAGACATGTTAGTCAAAAGTCACATGATTGCCATTAGGGTACCGCTATTTCCATCCACGTGTTTTATATATACATCACACTCTAAGTTCATCTCTAATCAAATTTTTAAAAAAATATTATTTGCATCCACGTTATATTCCAATCTTGACCTTATTAAATTCACTCGTTTAAAAATTGTATATCCACATGAATTTTATATATTCATCCCATTTTAAATACATTCCTAACACTATAGATTCACACAAACCCTAAAACCATAAACTCTTTTAAACCAAATGAATGAAATAATAACAAAGTTGAACTTATTGAACATTAAACTAACATATATTATTCAGTTAACAACGTTTATTAGAAATTTTATCATTCTTATTCATAAAACTCAATTCATCAAAGGCAAATCGTCATAAATCAGCATCCAAATTAGGAGGAGAGTTGTCTCTAGAGAAAGTATACCAAGTAACATTTGGAACTCATCGTGTTTGGACTATGCTTTGTTTGCTTCAATCATCTCTTCCCTAGCTTTATTCATATTTCAGGTTTTTTGCTTAAAAGATTTTTTTTATATTTATCTATTAAGTATTTATCAGGGACGAAGTGTCGTTATCTTTCCCGCCACAGCCAAAGGTATGCCACCTTTAGCCTCAGCCATTCATTTGAATCTAATGCTCTGCTGTGTAATCAGCTCAAGAATTTCATCTTCTTTTTCCTACTTTTGGGATTGATCAATGGTATGTCATTGCATTATGTTTTCATCTTTTAGGTTAATTTTTTTAAAATCTTGTGGTAGCAATGCAATTTTCCAAATGGACAATAAATCCTTACATGTAGTTAAACATATGATTCAAAGTCATATCTAATGTTACCAAAGCCGATACTAAATACCTCTGATAACAATTCATTTCAACCACATATTTTATATGTCCTACAATTTTTCAACCACACGTTTCGTTAAGTTCCATTAAAATCTACTAAAAATCTTATTTTAGTTATATCAAGCAGGAAATAAGTATATATTTTTTTTCTATCTTCTATGCTTCTCCCAAATACTAAAAGAAAAACGTTGTTATACACGTAACTATAAACTTGGAGGACTTAAATTGCAATTCTTGAAGTGGTGTCATTGGCTTACAACACGATTTTAAATTATGAAGGAGCTTCTCCTTCTAAGATTGTCTCACGTAGATCTCCTTTCGGTGGATGTTCAATGTGGACTCAAGCATTTATACTAAATCTCTATTAAATTGTTTTTCACATTATTTTTTTTTGGCGGTTGGATGTGTGTACTTTTGAGAAAGAAAGCAAAAAATGGTAAACCAATATCGATTGATATTAACGCACCGCATCATCGCATGTACTTGAGATTGAATGTAATTTTGTTGAATCATTTCATTTAAAGGTTTAAACTGTTATATATGATTTACTTGTATTTATTTAATTTTCATTTTCAGCACATCTTTCACACGCATGTTGAATTCATGTAAATTTTCAATAAAGAAACTCGAACTTAGAATCTTTGGTTGTTCTTATCCCATTGTACTATGCGTAAATCATTTGGTTTGAATGTAATTTTGTTGAATCATTTCATTTAAAGGTTTAAACTGTTATATATGATTTACTTGTATTTATTTAATTTTCATCTTCAACAAATCTTTCACGTGCACGTTGAATTCATGTAAATTTTCAATAAAGAAACTCGAACTTAGAATCTTTGGTTGTTCTTATCCCATTGTACTATGCGTAAATCATTTGGATTGAATGTTTAAACTATTAGATATGATCTTTACAATTATTTCCTTGAAAAAAAAAAAAAAAAAAAAATGGCGGATTTCAATACTCTTGAGTTTGTTGGACCTCTTTGGCTAACTCGAAATATGTTTACACTTTTCTTTTAAAAAATAATAATAATAAATCTTACCTTCATTTTATTATTCTTGTTATTATGTTACTATCCCTTTTACCAATTTTTAAGTAGAAAAAATGATGATATGAAATACAACTTTTAATTATTCTTAAACGAAATGAAGTTAATAGTTATACAAAATATTATAACCAAAGATATAATTCATAGAACAGCCAACCAACTACTAGTAATTAATTGTTATTACAAAAGGCCATCTATTGAACCTGCAAAAAGTCTATTTTAATTGAGTGATGGGCTCTTTTCATTTGTTTGAAGTCTAAGCCCAATTGGTTGGCCAGCTTTCACTTAGTCGATCCTTTGTTAAGTTGTGTTTGGAAGGATTTCTATTTTTATTTTTACTTTTTTTATAGAAGAATTTATGAGAAAACTACTTTAAGTAGTATTTGAAATTAAATTTCTAAAAGAGATTTCTCTTCTAAAAAGTTTATAGAGAAAGTCACATCAGATTAATTTTCACAAAATACTCTTCTAACTAAAATAATTGTTTTAATAAAATAAACAAAACAGGTACAAAAGTAAATTTTGCATTTCAAGAGCTTATTTTCACTTCTCATAAATTATGTCAAACGGGCCGTTAGGATTATGTTTGACAAATATTTTAAAATGTGTAAATTATGGTTAGACGACAAGACCAATTTTCATGATTTTACTAGTATAAAAAACGTAAGCCATGTTTCGATGTCAAGTTGATCAAGTTTGGATAAAAATTAAGATTATCTTAATTTGTTATGTATTGCCCATTGTTCTATAAAATG